TTATGCGTCATTATACTCCAGATTGCGGTGTATATGACAGTTTTCCTCTACAAAAACAGACAGCCCTTCACCACAATATCCAGTCCGATCCTAATAACTGTGTGTACATGCACTACTTTTAGATATTTTTTCATTCATACTCGTGGCGTATGCGCATATCTTTTCTTCAGTTATGCCCCCATCCACTTCTTCAACGCATAGATAGATGGCTATGTATCCGTCTGGTATTTCCCGCTGTTTTCTGACAGCAGCCTGCCGCTAAAGTTAATATTTTTCTGCACTATCCTACTTCCCGCATCACGTGAATAACATCGCGCCGCGCAGCATCCTACACATGCACCCACTCCTTTTCGGTCGGCATGATCAGATAGGTGGATTGGCATTCTGCAATGGCGGTTGGACGACTTGTGGCAAATGCCCATATATAGCCAGTGCTGCTGCTAAGCCCTATGGACAGTGTGTCTTTGTGCGGTTGTGTGAGTGCGGATGTCTCTGCCGCACTACTGACATTTCGATTAGTGCCACTGGTTGTTCAATGTACATGTCTGTTCAACCGTGTCTTTACATGGAGACGACATTCAGGTCAACATCAGCTCGCAGACTCGATAATTAGTTCGCACCCCGTCTCACCAACAGCTTAGTCTTCTTGAGGTCTTCGGATTGCAAGGGACATTTCTGAACCAGTAAATTAGCCCGTTATCCAAGTCTAACAATCTGTATAATACATTTCTGATGCCATGAATGTGATGAAAATCGCGCGTGATTTTGCGCCATTTGTCACAGTGCTAACAAGGCTAACGCAGGTACTAAGCTAAAAAACGACCGCCAAACATGAACCACACTTGTTTTGAGGCTTTGGAGTGAAACAAGGGGGCTTGAGATCCAGAAGCAATATTTTGCCGTGTAAAACAAGTAATGAAGCACTGGATAACCTTCGATCTTCTACTAACTGTGGCTTGTGTTTAGCCTTGATTGCCAAATCGCAAAACTTATCTGCATAATCAAGGTCCCCAAGTATGTCTCCAGATGTAATTTTGGGGCCTGAATTCACAATCCTCTGGGAGAAGCACTCTCTGATGACGTCAATGATCTGATTGTACAAAAATGATGAAACTCATTAGTTGGGACATTTTGGATGGTTCGTTATAAGTCTGATGCAATAATTAGAAAGAAAAAGTGAAAAAACTTCCTTGTTAGCCGAGAATATGTAGAACTGATCTATCTTGGAATGAAAAACTCCTTCTAAGACTAGGACAACTGCTATTCTTTTGTCTCGCTCAAAAACCTGACGTGGTGCGAAGATGTGGGCAGCACATCTCCTGCCTAAACAAAGTCCCGCTTGATCCTCTGCCCTTTGTTTCTCACATTTCCAGATTATATGTAACCGTTTCATTGAAATCAATGGCTTCGGATACCTGTTCCAGTGATGGCATGACAACAGATTAGCACTGTTTTCCTGTAAAGAGTTGTTGCTCCTAAATTGGTTTAAGGATTTTAGACGTAAATCCGCAACCGTCTTCGAACAACGCTTGTTGGAAATCACCTGTCTCTGCGACTCAAGGCTATTTCCGAGCAGAAAATCTTAACTGAGGGTCTAAAACCATGGCTGGAGTTCACACTTACAGAGTCAGCTGACCAACAGCAGTCAAAACGCTGTTATGTATTATCCTTTCAATATCTATCATCGCCTCACTAACGAACGATTCGTTTGGGTCCTGTTTTGTGCGTGAGTGAAACATTATTCTAACGTCTAATGATGTCTTAGCCTCTCCCTTGTTCCAGGACTCGCTGATTCCATCACTCTTTATCTGCATGTGCTCGAGCTAAATTATGCTCAATGTTCGAAGGGCTACAACGCTTCGCACCAACGAGCAATAATGACTGTTCTGTCATCCGATGCTCACTGGAGGAGGAGCTTCCAGAAACCAAGCTGCATTTTACGGATGTGGCTTGGTAGTGCTTGTCTGTTCCCAGTTACATTGTCCGGGGAAGTCGGTTTTAGTGATATATTTAAGCCGTTTTGCTAAACTGGTCAGCCTTTGGATCAGAGAGGTTTTCGAATACTAGACGGTGAGCTTGTCTCACCAAATTCTCTGCAAGTTCACTCCCTGATGACAGTGAATCGAATTTTATCATTCCGGAAATATCGACAGTCAAGATTAGAACCTCGACACCAATAGCTCGTAGCTGGGATCGTTCTGATTCTTACCTAGTATAGAGGAGATGTCCTGCAAGCCTTGTTTGCCAGGTAGACCCCGAAACCGGCTCTGTTCGCATTCGCTTCGTTTCTATATATTGTGGAGCTTTTAGGATTTCCGGATAGTTTTCCCGTTACGGTCTGATTTTCATGAACCATTTTTAGCCTGCTGCAGGTATTCCATAACTGTCCTTTCTTAAACGTACCACTTAGTGTACTCTGTAGCCTGCGACAGTTTCCGGTGACAGTACGAGAAGTACAAAAGGTTCAATCTTTTCTTAAATGCCTTTCCACAGGCTTCCCAATGATTAATTTTGTCATTCATTTAAATTCTCATGTTCTTCATGGTTTACGGCAAACCTGCTGCCATATTCTTCTTATAGATTTCGCTGAAGGATGGCTACGTACCAAAAACCCGCTCAAAGCCTAAATCTAGACTCATCAAGTCGCATATTGCCGGTGAATCTGATCAACCAACTCAGCCTAAACACACACCGTCGACAAGACAGTCAGCGAGTGCGGCGAAAACCACCGCTGGTCAGCACTCTACACTGTCAAAGCCAGAACCTCGTCAGCGGTTATCCACCGGTAGTGTAGCAACTTCGCGACACACGAGTCATGGGGAACAAACGGTATGTTTGATAGAAATCCCTTCTTATCCTCTTTTTTTCTTGGCTCATTCCCATAGTACTGATGTATCACAATTGTGTTGGGAATTTTTTCAACGGCCTTTGCTTATCTGACGCTTATCTCGTGCATCATTTTTTTCAGATTGCTTCTCTCACATAAGGGATAACCTCAATCTCTACCTTAGTCTAGATAATTCATTTGGGGGGTTAGACTATCTATAGTGTGCAGAACACTACTGGGGCCACTCGTCGTTTCTAATTGCTGCTATTGAGCCTAGGTCATAGGAATTGTAAACTCAAATCAACTGACGCAGCTGTTCAACAAACAAATCTGTGGAAATGTAAAACCGCATGTTTTGAGCACGGGGGATACTTTAAAAACTGCTTGCTTCACCCAGTCATTTATTGTCTCACAACTCTACGGGGTATAACCAGTATTTACCTAATAAACCACTCGTGTCAAGGTCATCAGTTTGAGTCAGATAGTTATCAGAGTTGTGAATAATATTTAGCTCTATGGGGACCGGCATTAACAGATTTCGCGTCGAACAAGATTTGTCATTGTCTCACTCCGGAAGAAAACTGAACCATCGTTCCAATCAGGAACCAGTAGATCGCTGACACAGTTGAGAAGCGAGATGAAATTACACCTGTTTTGGTGACCTTCTCATACAGTTAGATTGCTGATGGTAAAGTGTGCTGAATATGACGTAGAGATGAGGCGAATACCTACGCGATATGTGTGCTGACTTATTTTTGGCTTGTCAAACGTCAACAAGCCACAGGACGCTTTAAATCACTGCCGTTCTTCCTTCACTCTGTGAAATCTGCTTCTGCAGTGTGAGCCGGAGACAACCGAGGTGAGTATTTCATCACGTTTGCTATGCCTTCTAGGTGCCCGTTCTCACCACTGCTGTCAATGAAGCAAGAATGTGGTGATTCACATAATAACTTGATTGGTGTTCTAAATTACACTACGTATTGGCTTGATTCTCCTACCCCAAACAAGTCACCAACCCGTATTTTGGAATATTATGCATTGTCGGTCGTTCTGCTCTAAGCCCTTTTTCAGTGACGTTATAACCTTTTTTCTCGCCCCAACTGTGTTTATCACTGTGTGATGTCTTGTGCTGCATGTTCCAAGGTTACTGGATTGCTTATACAGCTTAATATGATTAGCAACGGTGTTAAATTCAGGAATGCGCCTTTCCAACCTGAAAAATCCCCGCCTCCTGATTCCGCACTTTGAGAGAGGAGATGCATGTACTGGTACATCACTCCGCGCAAAGCCTGTCTAGTTGGATCTATTTGCATGAACCCAGTGGTATTATCACCTGCGTTATAAAGTTAGCAACGAAGGAACCGAGGAGTTCTTATTAATGCAGTTAACACTTTGACTTAGAATTGTACCTGGTTTATCCAACATTGTCAGTCATGCTACCCATGCTAACATTCCAGAAGTCTTATGTTTCGTGTATTAAAGTCAGAATGGACAGCTTTCAGCGGTGTTCGAACCCGGCTATCCGGTAACACAGATCCGTGACTGTGCTTGGTCGAACGGCAATACAAAATGATATTCTTTCCAGGTCGTTCAGCTGATATTTTTGGAGCGCTTGGACACGAGCTGCTTGTATGAGGTTAGCATAAGGTCACTTCCCTGTTCTTATTGCCCAATAGTAACCAGTAGACTTATGGCAAAGTCAAAACTGTTATCGTTGTTTGGTCCGAACCGAACGGTGGTGGAGTAATGGTTTCCATCGTTTGTTTTCATGATACGCGTCTTGCTCGTCAGAAACATCCATCAGACTTGTTGGGTCGATAGGGCTTGTATCTCCCGTTGCTTCAGAAGCCTGCATTTCAGCCATTGCCTACAGGATCCATCGCTTTCTTGTGTCCTTTCACACGCATCTTACGACATACTTGTCCAGCATCCGGTACAAATTTGCTCGTCAAAAGTGTCAGGCCTACCTGCCGACTGAACACGTCAGATGGTGGACGACTGGTTCTCAGCCTTTTTTTCATTCTGTCGACGTCACGCTTTAGTTGTCACAAGATCAGCTGGTCACACTTTGCATAGACTGTTTTTCCCGGTAACGGTGGTGTAGCTCGTTCATTCGCACATTTGCACTCAAGGTTATTCCATTCAAGTCCCACTTGTCACTAAGACATAAAGTGGTCGGAGTCGACCCAGTAGTGTGTTTGGATTTTTTGTCTGTTGTACAAAGGATCTCCCTGCTAGCCCAGCTATACTTAATCGGTCACGCAAATACCTATCAACCGCATCATCGGTTTTCTTTTTGTCAAGCTTGTACTCCATCATTGTGTAGTCTTTGCTTGTTATTTCACACTTCGCAAGTGTGCCTGCTCTGATTCTCTGACGCGTCTTACATTATTCCTTGCATATTTTTTCTTACCACAAGTGCATGCTTTGGTGTTTTTCTTTGCGTTAACCAACGTGTCCTCATTTGCTGCTGTGGATACCACGCATCACAGTCTTATTTACCCTCATGGACCTTGATCCACCTGGGTCACGGAAAACTTTACTTCATCGCTAAAATTCTTCAAATACTATTGCTGTATCTTGACTCGGTTGCTGATATGTGCATACAACCCCACCTAACCTTGTTCCATGTTCCTGTGTACGTAAGTTTTCTACAGAGCTCTTTGGCGGGTGCGTTTTGTATGAATTTCCGGCTCTAACATGTATATCCGTTCGTCTGTCCAACCTTGCTGGTTAGCGAAAATAGTTGTATGTGTTCTGCGTTAGGCAATCCACGAGTAGGAGAATGCAGTATCAAACATTCAGGTTGGGGTCGGATGTGAGTAAACCTATAACTGTCCACCAGGACGAAGGAACCACTTGCCATTATTTTCCAGCTCCAAAATGCTTATACAGTCGTTAAGCCCCCGTGTTCACCATAGTGTGGGTTGAAAAATCCAACACAGTATTCATTGACTATGAGAAATGTCGGCATGAACACACAGATCGAATGGCCGGTTCAAACTGAAGTTAGAAAAAACGAACTCATGCCGACTTTTTCAATTATCATTGGCCTGGATTTCCAGGTTCAGTTGGTATGCCGTCCCACTACACCAGCGGTTACCTTTTGTCAGGACTTGACTTGGCGTTGTGACTTGTTTACCCTAAAATACGCGCGTGGCATCATTCTTCCAATTATGGTTAACCACGCTGTAATACAAAATGAAACAGCGAACTTTATCTAGATATTCATCGGCTCCCTAATCAGTATCCAATAATACAAAATCGTGCTACCTAGCATTGTTGTATTGGTCATCCAATTAGGCCGTATCACGAAGCGCGTCCGATCGTAATGGCCTTGGTAAAAGAGCCGGCGATCGATACACAGGCCCATAATGTTGTGTTAATATTTGTGAGCCATGGATGGGCAGCAATATTGAATCATTCGAATATCCACACTCATCGAAACGAAATATTCTACCACTTATTGAAAAACGCTGGTTGGTACATCTTGATGCAACTTCCGAACTGTATGAAACGTACGACACAGCCATTTTTAGTCATCCGTTTTACAGACAAACGGCTTGGTATTCTCCTGGAAATTTTTCTTCGAAGGGGATTGTTGTTTCAGATTTTTTTAGATGCACGCCGCGCTACACTTGATTACTTCTAGACAGTATCTAATCGATTTCTTATGAACTGCGACGGCTACCGGATTTTTTGCGCAGCCAGGCAACTGTGGTGGTATTTTAATCCCCTTTGGTGTATGGTTCTAAATCAGTTCAGAAATGCCGGATGAGTCACTCGAATGGGTTGGTGGTTCCGGGAAACCCCTGTAGGAAACCGTCTGGAGTAGTCACTGGCATCTCAAATGTTACACTGAAACGGTGCAGGATACAACAGCCCTTGCACATGTGCCTATCCTTCTCGAAATGGCGCAACTTCCCAAATATTAGCTCGTTTCATCGTCATCTCTTCAGTTTCAGTTAGGTGTTCGTTTCGCCCTTATTGAACTGTTCCACGCGAACCCAATGGATAGATCCCCTGTCCCTTTTTCAACATTTATCTTTCGTTTGTGGGTCACATTGCTTGGACCTGCTGAGCGCACACATTGGGTTGTTCAAAAGCTGGCTGGCTAGGAACGTCGCTAATTCAAACGTCACTCACTTGATTGATATAAACCACCATTGAATCACTGAGGGTGTTTTATCATTGTCACCGAATCGTCCCGTCGCGGTCCACTAAATTATTTATCGGGTTGTTTGTTATCCCCTCTCATTGTCATTAAGTAAGCAAATGACCACGACCACAATAAACTGGTTAAACGATTTCCGTATTTTAGAAAAATACTGATTCATCTCGCACTACTTTCAACCTCGCCCTTAATTGTGGTTACATACAGTTGCACTATATATAGTGTATATGGTTGGAGTTTAAATGTATGTACGTACACGCAGCTATATTCTTTCTGTCAAGATGTCTTTAGACAGCGTGTTCTCATGCATTATGTTTACCCTTTATAATGTTCCCCATCATCCATCCTTGTCTTGTCTTGGGGTGAAGCATATAACTCGAAGGATACTTTTTAAACCCCGTTTCAAGACCTAAGTTGTTTCCGTGTGTAATGGTTGTAGTTTATAAATTGTGTGGAGGGCATAAAAGACTTACTACGCGAACCAGACCGTAATCGGGGCTGCGACCGAGAGTATCCAACTCTAAAAGCTCCTTCTGACCCTTGGTTGCAATAACATCCTCAACGAGAGTTTCTCTTCTTGGGAGGGAGTGAATCGCACATTATATAGGATGCTTTTTTAAATCAGATTAATGGTATTTTAGTTATTTTTGGGTGCTTGTAACTGCACTGTGAACTTCATTTTCGGAAAAGTATGGTAGCAATCGGTAGATTTATTTCTGGGCAACTTTTCGCTTTTAACACAGAAGCTTCGTCGGGTTACAGGTTACAGGGTAATTTGGTGCAATTGAAAGATTTCCTTCCAGTTGAAAGGACAAGGGACTGTGTATA